ACCTTTTTTGTAGAGGACGACGAGATCTACAATTTCTGAGTAAAAAGATTTCGCTAGCATCAATAGTTAACGAGTTATAGACGAAAAACGAAAAACAGTTTTTTGCAAATTACTCGTGAACTATTGACGCTAGCGAAAACTTTTTACTCAGAAATTGTAGATCTCGTCGTCCTCTACAAAAAAGGTCTGATGCAATTTTCTCGTAGATCCAACGGTTTGGGAGTTATTGGCCAAAAACGAAAATTTCGCAAAATCTGAAGGGGTACCCCTTGGAAAAATTTCGGAAAAATCGAAAATTTGTTGTTGTTGTTTATCATTAGCAATGTTCTTCCGACGTCTTATTTCTTTTTAAAAAATGCATTTCTAAAGTGCATAAACTTTTGGGATTGACTGTACAGCCAATACATCCTTAAATGAACCGGCTATAAACCGAGTGATCATCGAATCGGTGGTCGTTGGATTAATTTCGCACTAATTGTTTACCCCGTTTACTCTCGAAATTCTACACGTGAATGTGTTAAACTCATAATGATAATGTTACAGGCGGCAGTGTCGCCCGTTGGCAAATGTGTACGTATAGATTCGGAGATACATTTAAAAATCATCAACTTAATAAGTATCTAAGCACTCAAACTTTCGCTTCTTTTTTTTATTTCATTCGCGCTCTCTGCTCATCGGACGATACGATCTGCATGCAAATTCTAATCTTTTACGCAGCCGTCGAATCCTGTTGAAACGTTCATCGCGCATAGCTTCTATCTATTCATTTTTAGGGAGCGAAGCGGTGTTGGGTCCTCAGATACATACAAACCCTCCTCCGATCGAGCAGCGCGTTGGAAGGCAAAAACTAAGACCCGGTTCCGGTTTCCTTTCCGTTACCGTCACCACCGATGGGCCAACGAGAGTCCTTCAGGTGTTGGACATCAAAGAGAAGGTACGAAATATATATATCTGCATTTATTTCGTTTATCGGCTACGTCTTTACAGAAAAAGACGTTCGCCTTATTGGAGGAACGCGACTGGTCGCACATCGCAGTCAACCATCGGCCGACTCAGATAAACACCGATGCGGAGAAGATAAATTCCAGTGAATTAGAATTAAAGGTGAACCTAGCAGCTGGCTTAGGACTGTCGATCGTTTCGCGTAGACCCGTTGAAGAGTTGTTGTTCGCTCGTTTCTCCGGTATATCGTTGGAACTGGTGCAAACCCCTGCCAAGACCACCGTAGATTTAAGCGTGGAAGATATACAGATAGATAATCAATTGTTCGAGGCGCAGTGCACGTCTGTGCTTTACGTGACGAGACCGGCCAGAATCGAGAGCGAGCAGCGGCTGGCTATACACGTGGTCGCAGAGAAATTGAAGTCGAAGAATCAGAACGCAGAGATATACAGGCACGTGGTGGTGAGCATCAAGCCGCTCTGCATACATTTGGAAGAGAAGCTGATATTGAAACTGGCCGCGTTCGTCGGTGCTGGAAGATCCGAGCTAGAGGTGCCCGTGGACGAGAACGATTTCAAGGCTCAAAGGTTCATTTCTGAAGTGTCCGCCGCTCATGCTAAACGATACTATTTCGGAGCGTTGAAGATCGTCCCTAGTCAGATGAAACTGAGCGTTCTCACTACTACGAAATTGCCCCGGCCTCTTCAAGCTATTAAGAGACAATTAGGATTAACGTTGATCAAGTTTGAGGACGCAACTATCGAACTCGAACCATTTATCAAGAAACATCCGTTCGAGAGTACTCAGTTCCTAGTACATTCCATTATAAAACACTTCAAAGATGTACGTTCGTTAAAATCTTCGTTATTCCTCGTCTTATCTTAAAATACTTAATTTATTTTTCATCTTAGGAATTGAAGTGGCAAGCCGCGGTGATATTAGGATCCGTAGATTTCCTTGGCAACCCTCTGGGCTTCGTGAACGACGTCACGGAAGGAGTCTCCGGTTTAATTTACGAAGGGAGCGTGAAGACTCTGGTGAAGAACGTCACCCACGGTATTTCAAACTCTGCCGCGAAAGTAACCGAGTCTCTGTCCGATGGACTGGGGAGAGTAATAATGGACGAGAGACATGAAGAAACCAGGCAGAGGATTCGAGCAAACACTACAGGAAGCGGTGATCATTTAGTAGCCGGATTGAAGGGTTTCGGGTTTGGCTTACTCGGAGGAATGACCAGCATCTTCAAACAGACGTACGACGGAGCTACCAATGAAGGATTCCCAGTAAGTAGGCATTTGAATCTCTTTTAATTAATCAATTGTAAATTGTGGCGAACGTTTGCAGGGTTTTTTTGCTGGGTTTGGGAAAGGAGTCGTTGGAACCATCACAAAACCGGTTGTAGGAATGTTGGACCTCGCTACAGAGACTGCCACTGCCGTGAGAGAAACCAGTCGAAGGTATTCTTTAATTTCGATCAACGCATCGATTGTTTGATTAAAAATATAATATTTAATGTAATTATTCTCAGTGCCCATCGTGCCATACCGAAACGCGATCGAGCTCCTCGCGTGGCCAGCGGATCAGCCGGTCTCTTGCCACCTTACAATCGTCAGCAAGCAGAGGGGCAAGAGTTCCTCTATATAATAAACGATCACAATTTTTCGGAATTGTTCGTGGCGTACGAGTGTCTTCGTAGCGGGACGGAGAATTTGAGAGTTCTCGTGTCGAATGAGAGAGTCCGCGTGATTTCCGGTGGTACTAAAAGCGTAGTAACGGAAGTCAGTTTAGCAGACTTGGTGTTATGCCAGCCGACACAAAAGGTGGAGAACAACGGTACCACTTTGTATTACATCGAGTTGATATCCAGATCGGATTCGACGATAGCTGTGAACGTGGACGGGCCTGAGCTTCTAAGGAGGCCCAAAGTTCGCTGCGACAACGAGGAAGTGGCCATACGAGTCGGTATCGTTAGAAATGATAGTTGCGATCGTACTGTTTCAGTCTTTTTTTATTTGAACAATCATTGTTTCAGGTGTCGCAGCAAATCAATTACGCTAAAGGGATGCACGATGAGCGCAGCCTCACGCTCTCATCGTCGGACAACATGCTGGACGACGTGCAGTACTACAAGTAGTCGCAGACGTTGTCTAATTCACGTTTCAATTCGCAGTTTCGAATCGCGGTACGAGCGATTCGAAAGCTTTAGCAGGCAACTATCTCGTATATGTTAGTTTATCCGGTTTTTTTTCTCGCTTTGTTTTTCTTTTTTCCTTCGACAGTGCACGCGTACACCGATGCCTTACTACGCTTAAATTTAAGTTGATGATAAGACTGATGACGAGGATCGTTTAGGCAGCGTCCGCGAAAATGCAACAATTTCAGACAATACTCTTCGGAGGGAAATGAATTTGATTGCCGCACAGTAAATACAAAACGTTTTTATACCAATGTACGGGTAAAGCAGGAAGAGAGTTCTTTTTTTTAACATAGGATGTGTGCACGTTATAAATATGTAAGATATGTATCGGGTAAATCTACTTAAAGCTAAGCTACATAAAGGAAAAGAGAAAATGATTACAAAAACCAAAGTTTTGACGATAGGGTAGGATATTTATTTTCTATATTAACGAGTTTGATATCTTGCAAACTATTTTTCCGTTCGTGAAATATATAAATTATATGTAACATACGTATTTTTTACACTGTTGTATAATACGATCACTAACCAAAGTATTAAAAAAGAAAACTGTACATTCTCCTTTTACGGTTAAGTGGTGTAAAAAGGAATAGGGATTAGAGCTTATGTACAGGCAGTGTAAGGATCGAGAGAATCGTTCGAATAAAACTTTTCTAAAACTGATGCTTTGTATGCACGTGTACATATTGCATCACGTAGCTTTACGATCACATTAAGAAGTGTTAGCGATACAAATGATAGATTGTATACAACGATTCGTCGAAATTTGTTATATCTCGAGATTTTCACGCTGTCAACGTAATTTAATAAAGAACTCTTATTTTTGTTCGATAACTCTCATTTACTTTCATTCTACAACATTACACGCCTCCGCTTTCCCTGCTGTCATTAAGATCGTGACTGGAAGACAGTTTGGCGACATGAAAGAACGCGGTAATGCTACATAAATTCATATAAATCGTACCTTACAACACTGTTTTTAGGTAATCCCGCTGATAACACGTTGTTCTTGCTGATAATGTATTATCAGCGACTAATGTTTCCGATCCCGCGAACATGGCTCCTTTTACGATCACTTGAAATGTCAAACGGCTTGGGATATACCAAATAAAACAACGTTTCTTGGATGTGATAAAGATCATTGAATAAAAGAAGATATCGTACGAGACGTGATTCGGATATCAAAAGAATTCGAAACTGAGGACAACGAAGAGGAGACAGATTTTACTGGCGAACGGGAGGATCAGAACCTAAAAGGATGGACGAATATTTTGTTGAAGGGCCGCCGGGAAATTTTGACAAGGCCACTCTAGAGATCAACGAGGAACTCGACGGCAATGAACTCGCCGGCCAAAATTCTATATCCTCTGGTAAATAGCGTTTGTTATAATATTTTCATCAAATTAGATTACGATCGCTTTCCTAATTCGATCAGAACCTCGTACACGCACACACATACGTCCCGATGACGTTAATCATCTCTTTAGCTCGATTCTCCTTTTAAAACATTTATTTCCTCAGCTTCAATTATGTTTTTAATTATTGTAAGGAGCTAATAACACTCAGAAGAAGAATCAGGAGAACGAAGGAAAGAACCAGGCTGCTGTATCGTCGAGGGACGTTTCTAACATTCCCTTCAAGCATGTAGATATCCATTCGTTCTTCTCTGACAGGAACGAAGTCGTGGAGAGAGCGTTGAAGGACTGTCAAGACAGTTTGATAAACGAGGAAGAGAAGAACATTGTTGGAAGCTGGCTTTTGACAGAGTACGGATTCTGATATAGGAAATATTCTCATGACGAGCTATCGTGTAACGTTCACTCGTTTGTAGAATAAGTCTGTGGGACACTGAGAAAGAAAGACTGGTAATTCTTACGACGAAAGCTATTTACTCGATTAAGTACGATTTTATCTCTTTAAAGATACTCGAGTACAATCGAGTGCCTCTGTCTCAGATCGATACTTTAGTCTCCGGTGAACTAGTTTACCCAACGGCGTCTCTAGCACCGTAAGTATCACGTGTATAAAAAAGAATTGAATTCTAAATTGATTGAAATTGAAATTCTAAGATGACTCACGATCGGGAGATGTTTTTTTATAAATGAACGATTTCTAGCCGATTAAGTGGATTGGCGGAAGGGGTGTCGTCGATGATTCATTGTGCGGTTCGTCAAGAGTGGTCCTCTCTTGCCTCTTGTACGGGTCTCGCACAATTCGAACCTAGGTACACCCCGAGTTCTTACGTAGAACAGAAGATTTCCTCTCACTTCTGCACTCTCTCTCTCCTTTCTCTGTTATTAATAATCTCACGTGTATTAGATTACCCGCCTTGATGTAATCCTTTGAAGGGAATGCGGCCTTTTAATGTAGTTCACATTTATGCTTGGAGGCTGTTGCTTTGACAATACGATACTTATGTTCCGCCTTGTACAATAAGCGCGTTAATATTTAGATATCGGTGTGGAATTGCTATTCGTACTACTTCGTTCTTCTGTTCATCGCACTACTTTTCCAGAAAACGACACATGTCTGGAATAAGACTGATGTGGAACAAGGGTAATCCACTGCCAATCACCAAGAAGTGGAATCCCTTCGCGAAGGACATTCCATGGCTGACTTACGCCAGCCACCCACTGTTTTGGTACAAAGGCAAGTAGTGCTCGCATCGATTCACGGATCGCTCATATTGAGAGCGCGAATGATTACAGGATTGGAAACAGAATCGGCCAAGTTCAACGTGGAGGGTTTGCAGTCGTCGATCAAAGAACTTTTGCCGTCGGAGTGCAGCATGAGGGACGGGCTCATTATCATAGAGAACTACTGCGGTGTCGGTGCCTTGGTACACAACAGAAACGGCTTGGGTTTCTTCAAGATACGCGGCAAAGTCAGCTTTTAATCTAACACTTATCTGAAGACCCCTCGCGCTTCTATTTATTATAACGAAACATCACGACTAGACGTACACGCGTAATTTATACATAATTATAGTAGGATGTCTCGACTAATTATAGTTATTTATCCCAACGTTTCTGTTTCGAAATCCTTTCTCAAGCATATCGAATTCTTCTACTGCGTATAATGTGAATTTTTACTCAGTACCTGCTGTCAGATAAATAAATAAATAAATATAAATGAAATCATCTCTTGTACTCGCAATTTTATTTCGAGCGCCGATTTTCGAAGAGCGGCGCCACTTGCTTGCCATGCCAAAACATCTGTTTCATCATTTCTCGGCAAAACATTGCGGTTATTGAACTGAATCAGTCAGAGAATTAATTAACAAGATCTTTAATTAATTACTAAAGTTCTCAACGTTAATCGGATCGGACTTTGACCTGCGAACTTGTTTTTCGGAGTTGCACGAAAATGCGAATTCGTCAGCGTTATCAGGTATCACAGTTAGCCGTGTAACGAGAGTTTTACCGTGCAACTTTATAAGAGATTGTAAATAAACTACGAAATATGGATATTTTGCAACCCGAGCTGATTTGGGTAGACGGTCGTTGTTACCGGGTATACGAAAATGTAAAACGCGTTCAAGATGCTTGTAATTTATCTCCTTACGTCGAAGATGACGATCAAACGGCATGCAATGATTCTGAAGAGGAATATGACAGTGGCATAGATATTGTCCCACACGGATCAAGATATAAACACACATTTTCCGTGGCGAGGTAAATACGATCGAATACGTTTCATAAACTTAGTTGAACGTTCTTTAATAATCATATTTCAGAGTCCTCTTCAGATCTATTATCGGAGCCAAAGGTGCGGTACATAAGAAATTAGAGGCTGAGACCAAAACTCAGATAAAAATTCCAAAGATAGGAGAGGATGGCGATATTGGTAATTATACTCCCGTTGAAACAGAGTGCGAGATACCACAGCGAAGTTCTAAATTCTATCATGTACTTACAGTAATAATTGGTAGCGATCATAGAGCAATAAAAAAAGCACGTACTAGAATAAATTTAATAATAGAAACAGCTAGGAAAAGGCTGCCAAAGACTCACTTCGTGTCTATACCATTGAACGAGGGTCAGATAATAATGAACTTCAACATGTTCAAAAATGACGTGTTATCGGATCCGGCGAAGATACCTAAGGGTGTGGATGAAATGATTTTCCAAAAACCAAGTAAATTGCATCTTACTATCGGTGTACTGACGTTACTAGATGCCGCGGAAATAAATAAAGCCGTGGAGGCTTTAGATTTCTGCAAAAAACATATTGTGAAGTAGGAATATATCTTACAGAATTAGAGATAGTTTCTGATAGACAGATGTTACGTGATCCGTAATTGATTATAGGCCGGCGATTGAGAAGTATGGGGAGATCCCTATACGTTTAAAAGGAACTGAGATCATGAACGACGATCCTAGCGAAGCGAGAGTTCTGTACGCAGAGGTGGAGGATCAGAACGAAATTCTACAGAACATCGCAGATGAGATTTTATATCACTACGACAGTATAGGTAAAACGGTGTCAACATCTCTGATGTATAATACGTACAAAATCTTAATGGCAAGATATGTATCGTTCAGGATTGCTGGAGCAGAGAGAGAAGAAAGTTAAACTTCACGTAACTCTAATGAAAACGTCGTATAAATTGAGCAATGAGAACTTGAAGAAGGATGGAAACGGGAGTCCGACAAAAACTAAGTTAACATTCGACGCGAGAGACATATTAGAAGTGCGATTAATTATTTAAATCAATAGAGTTAAGAGAGTTATAATGAAAATATCGCGTATGTTCTAGGCTCATAAAGACACAATTTTCGGGGAGACCACAGTGAAGCAGATTCATTTATCGCAGCGTCATACGATTAGTAGCAACGGGTATTATCAGGCGACTGCAAAGATCAATGTACACGATGGATTTTAATAGAATTTTAATAACATTTCCAATTGTTAAATGTAAGTTGAGTTTCCTAACGGTCTCATAGGAAATAAATTATTTCTCTCCCATTTTCTACGCTTTTATTATAACATCGTTCAGTTCCTTCAATGATCTCTGTACTTCTCGATCTTTCACGTTTCCAACGAAACGATCAGACTAATCATAATGATCGAGAACGCATGCGTGATAAACAGAGTCAAAGTGATTGACGAATCAGAGTCATATGATAATTTTTATCACGTTATTATACCCGTACCCGTAATGGTACTCGAGCTTTCTGTTTTTATCACTGAGAAAAGTCCAACCTGTCCCTCCCTCCGTAAATGTTTATGTCAACCATTATTCTACTATGTTTCATTAATGTTTTACGTTCATAAACGAACACTGTAAAATTATTCCATGTATAATTAAACGATCGTTGTGTAAAACGAGATGTGAGACAATCGAATTGTTCTAGGTTCGTGAGAAATGCATGGAATCAAGAGAATATTAGTTTTCTGCACGTTAACAACTATTTTACCGATTATACTCCTCGTAACACCGCTATATTTACGTCATAATTTTTATGCCAGTGTAGCATATGCCGTAACGGATTCCGATATCTTGGAAATTACCGATGGAATCTCTACGATATTTTGCTCGGTAAGCTATGACACTTTCTTGGAACCACTATGATCTTTTGATAATGTTGTCCTTTTTACAGGCACACACTTTACAGATGAATCGAACGTTCAATGCGTTTCAAATGGCCCAGAAGCCGGAAATAACTTCGTACAGGAAGCATATACGTCTTAAAAAAAGCATGACGCTGCCTGACGATACTCTGGAGTACTGGGGATTCTATCTCATGGGAGGAGCTAGCGTGGCTCTTTCCGTATGCTCAAGGTAAAGGCTTTTAAACAATGTTCTAATGTAACGTCCAGTTACCATGATCGTTTGTGCAGGTTCGAAGGTGCTTCTATACTTGTCGTGAAAGGAGAGCGCAATTTACGAACTTGTGGCATCATTGAACACCATAATACGGAATTAAATAAAGCCAATTTTATGCCAGGGGCGAAGAGGCAAGTCAAAATCACGTTCGAATCGAATGCGAAAGAAATCCGTTCTAACGAGGCACCGAACGAAACTGGAGACAAACTCTCGAACAATACCGATCAAGAGTTCCATTCTAGAGGGAATCTTAAGTACAACAAAGAAAATCTAATGGGAGATTCAAAGAAATTAATTTGGGACGAAGATCAAGCGGAACTCGTGCGTAATACTAGGAAATTGAGACATGCCAGGAAGAAGGAAATGAAAGAAAAGGAACAGAGTAATATTGGATTGAGGAGGATATTAAGTTTCGAAGAAGGTATCGAGAGAATTAAGAGGAACAACGAAGTCGTTAATCCAACGCTTTTACTCGACCAGGGAGTTAAACACGGAGGAAACGCTGGGAATTTGACTAAAATCGACGAGGATTCCTCGGTTTCCAGTTTCGAAAATGAATTATTCAACTGTTACGGGGGCTCGATATTAATCGCTCAAGAATTCGCCCCTTCCAAACAATGTACCGATGTAACTTACCTACTGAATGGGAAACACATGCAGGCGGTGCACAATGTCGAAGAGAATGGATACTATTATTACATATTTTACAGCGACAACGATATCGTGTCGAACGATATACACGCTTTGTTTGATATCTACAAGCCTGTTTTTCATTACGAGGACGTAACCAGCTCTTGTATAAATCAAACGAAATGTTCCTTCCCGATAAGTCTATTATCTTCAGATAGGGTGATCGTTGAAATACCGAACAAGGATGATATTGATAACGAGATAGAGGATATCAATCTGCTCCTATCGATTTGTCATCCGCGTATGGAAGTCTATATAATTTTCCCTGTAGCAGTATTATTCTTTATTCTAGCTTGTGCCTTCATGTGATATACATTTGTAAATAAATGTGTGTATAATAAATTTGTATATATGCGTACATATACGTAATATTTTATACAACATGTACATTTGCACTTGAAACATTGTTACAAAAGTAAGTATAAATTTATATAAAAAAGTTTGTAGAATAGACCACGTATCCTTCTCACTCCGATTGTTATCAATTTATCTTATCAAACTTTTTTATTAAAACGTTCTCGCCCTTTTTACATTGTGTACGTGCGTACTTGTATCGTACGTTGTAGTTCAGATTGACAATCATTGATACGCGTATTAAAATTGACAAGAGTACCTCGGCTACGTTTCATAAAAGAAACTTTTACTTACACGAAATTCGCCGGACATCTTGAAGAGGAAATCGACCAAGTGCAACAGACAGGAAGAGTAGTACGTAAGAGTCGAAGGACAAACAAAGGGAAACGAGAAACGTGTAAACGATCGACGGCTCGTTTGGATTTACCTCCTGAGATCCATTAACACTTCCCACGGAACTGTGGGTAACTGACGTACTTCCTTCCTGCGCAATAGACATTTTTGATAGAAAATCTTCTAAAAACCAAAGACATTGCATTGAAAAACGCCGAACGCGTTTGATAACTCAATAAATCCAACATTCCGAGCATTCCGGGGCACATTTAACGCATCGGATTGAATAAAAATTTGGTTGAAAATTTGAAGATTGTCAGCAGCGCCGTAACGCGGCGCTCATGAGAATATCCCTCTTGACGCAATAGGAACTCGTCCTTTCCGTCGACCTACCGTGAGTGAAACATGTCGCATACGTCTGAGCGAAGGTAAGTTTAGTTTTTTCACGCGTAATCGGGAAATCTTCAATCTTTATTAAGCTTCGCGGTGTATCCATAAACGTTGTGCTTCCGCGGGTCTTGTTCGGTGCGCGATCGGATCTCTGTGTTCGTTGGTAAATCGTTGGGAAATAGTGTCGCAATCAGCGAATGCATGGGACACGAGACTGACAACATGGCGTGCATACGTTTTTGTCACATTGTTTGCGAGATTAACGTTGTCTCGTCAACGGTTCTCTCTTCTCTAGCCACCGAACGCTGTCCCGTCTCTAATTACGATTATCGTCTCGTTCATCGAAACCTTGAGCTGGCCAGGGATCGGTTTTAATCGCGATCGTAAAATAGCACGCTCGACCCACTCGTCGGGCAAACAGTTTTACTTTACTGAAATTACGTAATAAACGATTGAATTTCTTTGGTTCGGCGAAGAAAATCGACAGAAGACGAGCTGGGCTAAAAATGCTACACGGTGCGCGTCGGTTTGGTTGGCTCTTAGAATCGGAGCACGTCTTACTTGTTCGGGCATGCTTTCGCGTGAGTCACTGTCATCGTATCTATCAAGTCATCGATAAATGCATTGCCGTAGCCGTCCGGCAATCCATCCGCAAATACTTTACTCTTACGTTTCCACGGGATCAGGTATATTTTGATAAGAAGCTTTCAGATGTCGGATTAGATCATTGTTCGTTTTTATCGCGAGACTGACGTGCCACGACGTTGAATTTATGCGTTTCAAGGTCGCTAAGCTCGAAAATCACTCGTACCATTTCCCCGGTTGATCTTTCACGAGGAACCGAGACTCTTCGATCGACCGCTAAGAATTCCATCGCATAATTACTGTTTTTCTATTTGTGAATTGTCGACTTATTTAAATACCAAATGTTTTGTATCGTCTTTCAGAAACGATGATCAATGGATAGGGGATTCCAAAAATGGACCTAGTGAAAGTGATCAGCAAACGTACGATGGTCCCCCAGGCATGGAGCCTGATGGGGTCATCGAATCCAATTGGGAAGTTGTGAGTTAACTTACTAATACGAAAAGTTAACGATCCGTTGCGATTAGATTTAAATTGAAACGCACGTTATCCTTGTTAATTAGGTCGTCGACAACTTCGATGAAATGGAGTTAAAAGAAGAACTACTTCGTGGTATTTATGCTTATGGCTTTGAAAAACCATCTGCGATTCAGCAACGTGCCATTCTGCCGTGTATAAAAGGACACGACGTTATTGCACAGGCACAATCAGGTAATGCGAATCGAGATACACAATTATTCAATAGTAGTATAGTTCATTTAATAATCGATGGTACATTGAACAGGTACTGGCAAAACTGCTACGTTTTCAATCTCTATTTTACAACAAATCGACACCAGTATCAGAGAGTGTCAAGCTTTGATTCTAGCACCAACTAGGGAGCTGGCTCAGCAAGTGAGTTCTAACACGATATTGTAATGTCGCCACGCTTTCCATTGAATCCGATTGAAAATTAATTGTTCATCTATTTGTTCAGATTCAAAAGGTCGTGATCGCTTTGGGAGATTTCATGCACGCGGAATGCCACGCGTGCATCGGAGGCACCAACGTGCGCGAAGACATGCGAAAATTGGATCAAGGTGCTCATATAGTGGTCGGTACTCCTGGTAGAGTATACGACATGATCAGTCGACGGGCGTTGCGGGCAAACAACATCAAATTGTTCGTATTGGACGAAGCCGACGAGATGCTCTCGCGCGGTTTCAAAGAACAGATCCACGATGTATTCAAATTATTACCTAACGAAGTGCAGGTACGCGGAATTATTTGGTTCCGGCAGTTGGATAAATATTTTTAAAGCTTGGCACGATACCAACATAACCTCAAGTTTGGCATGAAATAGCTCGTGGTGTATTTAAAATACCGATTGTATGTTTCCAGGTCATATTGCTGTCGGCCACGATGCCGACTGACGTGCTGGAGGTGTCCACGTGCTTTATGCGTAATCCGATTCGTATCCTCGTTAAAAAGGAGGAACTCACGCTGGAGGGTATCAAGCAGTTCTATATTTTCGTTGAACGAGAGGAATGGAAATTCGATACGTTGTGCGACTTGTACGATACGCTGAGTATTACCCAAGCTGTTATCTTCTGCAACACGCGGCGCAAGGTAGATTGGTTAACGGACAACATGCGCACCCGTGACTTCACAGTCTCCGCTATGCACGGAGACATGGAGCAGAAGGAGCGCGACCTTATCATGAGGCAGTTCAGAACCGGATCGTCACGTGTCCTGATTACGACGGACCTTTTAGCACGTGGTATCGATGTTCAACAAGTTTCACTTGTCATCAATTATGATTTACCTTCCAACCGTGAGAACTACATTCACAGGTGAGCAAGAATTCCCGTTTCAAGATCACACAGCGCGATAGAAAAGTAATTCTCGCCGTTGGCGATACGTTCGATCGTAACGCGCGTCGCGAGACGAGAGTGAAGAAACGTGAAATCGTTTGTTACAGAATCGGTCGAGGTGGCCGTTTCGGTCGTAAGGGAGTGGCAATTAACTTCGTAACGGACGAAGACAAACGGACCCTGCACGATATTGAAACATTCTATAATACTAGCATCGATGAAATGCCACTGAACGTCGCAGATTTGATCTAAATCTGACTATTGGCTATAATTCATTATAATTAAACAAAAAAATAATAAAAGTAAGTGAAATACGGAGCTCTCAGCTGATCTCTCATGGTGTGTGAGTATATAAAGAGCGAGTTGGTGAACTGTAATCGCTTATGTAAACGCGATTTACCGAAATATTCCAAACGTTCTCGTCTCAATTTCATTTTATAATAGTAGATTACAGGTCGATAATAGTTATCAGTTACGCTAGAGGAAAACTAGTAATATCTACATTTAATAATTATTACAATTATCACACTACGGATACTACTGTTCCGCTATACTACCACTATATCGCTCTTACTATTACTACTATTTACTGGTATATACTCTTGCGCTATCCTCTTCTTGTTCAATATTTATTATTACCACATTTCCTGCTACTATTTCTATTATACATATATATATATATATACACATATATATACGTATATATAACTCTGCTGCTAATATTCTGGGTATCCTCGTTGTTGTCATTGCAAATATCAAGATTATCGTAATTTGTGCGAGGCAGAAAAAAGGGAGTAATACAAAGAGAATCGTGGAGCGAGGCAATTCAACCGATTCCGGTTGTTGTTTTTTACCTCTCTTTCTCTCTCTCTATATATCTTTCTACCTCATTGCTGTTCCGATAAAATCTAAAACAATGCATCCGCAGTTTCGAGCATCACGAAATTCCTTTACGAGCTTCAAATCTTCGTTCTTGAATTATCTCGTTTCGTTTTCTTCCTTACACGATTTCCCCAGCTGGATGATTTATTATTTCACGTTTTCGATCATTCTACCGCCGCGATTGCAACGCGTTTGCCTAGGCAGAGGTTTAGTCGGTTACTGGAAGGGGTACTTTAATCACAAGCGTTGCAGAAGGAGATGTACATTCAGGCTTTAGACGATACGAATTTTTTGTATGTCCCAAACCCCAAGTACATATACCTTCATTAAGAAATAAAGTGTTTGATCTTCTAATTGTGGTTTTTGTTATTACATGTTCACGTCGCGCTCTGGAACGCTCGTTTTTTTTCGAACAATCAAAACTCATCAGTTTCGTTTCCCACTTCGATGGAATTTAAACGAAAGGACGGTTTATGTTCATCCTGGGAAAACGCAAGCTCTTTCTCTGTGTCTCTCTCTCCTTGCGTACTCGAACACGCGGGATCGTCGGAAAAGTTCTCACAGGTTTTTTATTTGTATTGCAGGCAATTTTGAGCAGTCCAGAAATGAGGCAGATATTTTCGGAAATAAAGACCAAATTTCGTGATTCAATATATAGAAGTTTTGTAATTCCTATCTAATTTTCCTGCCCTTTGCAGGCTTATTAAACGATATGTAAATGTCGAATTATTGTACGTTTGCTTTCTTTATGGTTTTTTTTTTTTCCACTTTTTTTAAGTGGTCATAGAAGCCGACTCTTTTACACGATCATTTTATATTCTTATCAATAAAACGAACTTTTGAAAATACTTTTCGCTGCATCAGTTGTGTACTTGTGTGATTTGTTTGGGAATAAAGCACTCGTTGTGAGGACTTTTATATATACACATGCTCGTAAAACAAGAGAATACAGTAGTTTCCTGTATACATCGTTGATTAATAGTTTTCGTAAGTTGGAGTAATTTCTTCTGTTTGATTGTATCGTAGGAACGATCGTCGAATTGCTCGAATTTCCGAAAACTGTCTTACGAATTCTGTAAATAATACGAGGGATTTCTTTTGAACGAGGAGGGACCGTAGCGAATTTTATTGTATTTATATAACGATTATACAAATAATAATATTTATGATTGCGAATACGGATTCTTTTGATAGTTGACGGAATAAATGTGGATGTAGTTCATATACAGAAGATACGACGTATTATTATTTTTAATTCTCTGTATTAGAATCGGCCGGGTTTATTTTATGTTAAGCCAAACATAATCAACGGTCCTCTCTGTATCTCTCGATGTAACCACGATGGACTGCCTATTCTAATTAACTAGACAAATCGCCTTTTATTTATTGCTCGCTAAAAGTTTGTACAATCATGATAGAAATATACATCTTTACGATCGATCTTTGATTATGCTGTGGCTCCGATCATAGACCGTTTGTTTATTTCAAGATACACGAACTGATCTACGTAGCAAAATATTCGTATGGAAATCTGTACCGTTACACTGTTACTAACAAAAGATATTTGTAAACATTTATTGTATTCAAAGATACAAGTAGAAAACGGCGAAGTGTTCGATACGTATGTTTAAAATTAAATGTAGCTGTAAATATTTTCTACCAGCTGTCCGCTTTTCTTTTGTTTTTTAATGAACGATGTGTGCACACGTGCGGCCGAATAGCGCGCGCGCGTGGCAAACAAAGAGTAGTCGCGCACGTAACGCGTAACCCAGTGTCGCATTACAAGCCTCGAACGGTGACACTGGAATTCCGTGGCCGCGTATTAATCGGGTTTTAGACGTATTAATCTCGCTACGTAAACACGTAAGTATGCAGGACATTAATTCAATACGTTATTGCGATATTTGAATGACCCGATCGCCGTACTTGAATTTAGTACAATGATAACACGACAGTTCGCGCCAACGGATTGGCTCGTAGCATTTTCCGTATTAATTCAGAAGTGGGGAGACATCCTCGTGAGTCTTATATAAAACAATCACTTATCGCGTGGTGCGACTTCGTCGAGCGTACTCGCCGCTAGTGATTCCGTTTCGTTTAGATTAACACGTATGTTACACTTTGTGGACTCTTGATCAACGATCGGGCTGTCGGGACTGTACAATCGCCTGTAATAGTGAGCATGAAATTCGCGTAGCGTTGCCCGAGGGACAATACTTCTCGTTCTCCATCCGTGCCCGACGAATCGCGTTTATATTTAATCTTTCGAGCAGTACGTAATCGTTTTCATAAATTACGCAGTAAAATTGGTCGCCAAGGCAATATAACGGGCCGTCTCTTATCTCTGTCGTCACAAGCAAAACCGACCGTCCTAAACGAGAATTATTTGTTGATTTCCAAAGAAACACGACTATGTCCGCATCACCCATCGCAAGGCAGGCCACCCAGAGCCAAAACATACCATCGAAACGGATCGTTATCAATGATTCCAGTCAATTGCCGCACGATTATTCGACCACCCCTGGTGGAACGCTTTTCTCAACCACTCCCGGAGGTCAGTGCCTTTGTTTCAATCGGAACGTTTATTAAACTGTTGGAGCAAAGATTCTTCTAACGTCAGATACATCGTGAAAACATCGATTTTCTTTATAGAACGGACAGCGTTAAATCAGCTCTAATTAAGCACGTTAATTATTCAATATCTTAACGTAAACATGCAGCTTTTATGCACGCGTGGCTTCGCGTATTATTGTAACAGCCATGAATGCGTTTGCCAACACGGTTTTATTACAGATATTTTTAAACCGTCTGTTTACAAAGGCATCTTTAACTAGAATCGCGACGCGAACCGCTCGTGTTAATATTTCAGATATTTAGACAGCCTCGATTTCGGAGTTGTTTTACAGGGACTCGTATAGTTTACGAGCGCGACTTCTTGATGAATTTACGAAACTCTCCGATATCGCGAACGCCACCGCGGAACATGCCGTCGGAATTGTTGAAGAATCCGACGTCCAACACGGCGGCAGTAAAAAATCAAATCAACAAAGGTCAGTATATTAATTCGTACGATACAGAGATGGTCGATCAGTCAGGATCTTATTTTTATAGATGCTCCAATAATTGAGGAATGTGCGGAACAGTTCGAGATGGACATGTAAGAAATTGTGATGACGATGATGCGATCGTATTGTGCCAGACGTTTTTTAATTAATAGTAATGAGCCACGATTGCAATATATCATTTTTACACAAGTATATCAGGGGCCTTAAATAGACTAAGCATTTTTACAATTAAAAACGTATTCAACGTAATTGTTAAGAGTCCGTCGTCTCCAGACCCACAGATTTCAAACGAATGTAATACGTTTTTATTACGATGTTTCGTATGTGTACATTTACTTGGCACAAATAAATGATATTTTGATAACGGGGGCCTTATCTCCCACGGATATCGTATGTAAAAGGAAGTCTAACAATCAACATTATGTACAACATAATAATAGATTTATAATTTTGGAGATTTGTAAGAATTGCACTGTATACATTACATCACTGACATTATTTAAAACATGTTTAAAAATCATAATTAATATTTACACCCGGTTCTCAGCAAGCCTGTCTAAAATCACCTTCGCAACGTTGACTTTATTCCCATTCTTATCATCATCGTAATATATTAATTCGTAAGTGTTCGCGCATTCTGGATCGTTATCTAATAGATCTTTTAATTTCTCGTAAAATTTCCTTATAATATCTTTAGAATGAGATCGGTAAACCTCCGTCTCGGCGTGAGCACGTGTTGTCATCTCGTAGAGAGTCACCAAAGGAGATGCACCTTCTACTACTAAATACAAAGGCGCGTTCGTCTTTTGGCCATCGGGATAAATTTTATATACAGTATTATGGTATTCTCTTCTCTTTACTCCGCCACGATTTCGGACTTCATTAGACAAGTCCATGGTACCCTCCATCCACTTGTTTGAGGCATCTACCAGATCAGGTGGAATGTACGACGACGATGGAATTAAAATGAACAATTTGTGTACACATATTTGTATATTGTTGATATCTTCGTAATCCTCAATCTTCTCAATTAATCCTTTAGTTGTGGTACCAGGCGACGGAAGTATGATCCTTAAATATCCGTTATAATATAAATGTGCCATATGCGTCCCACAATCCAAACCACGCATTGAGTCGAGATCACATTTTTTCTCTGTTTTCATAGTTGTCTTTATAATCTGTAACGTAGACATGATATTAAAGAAAGTCAGAGGGATTAATATCGTCGATGTACACTTACACTTGTTTCACTCGAAAAATATTTCTTAAAAATATGTTCATACAAGTTCATGAACAAGGTCATGAACATGGTTACTGTCATACAGTAAGCTATTATGTATGCAAGATCTTTCGATTCTAAATGCAATTTTATCAGAATTCCTGTGATACTACAGAAAATAGTAAATAGCCCGGCGTCTCGATTCATAGACAGAATTCTTCCACTTATTTTATAATTCGTACACGTTTATAAATGCGCACTTCACTGTAATATACAGTAATTATATCAGCTCTAAAAATCTAATTGATCTTGATAGTGATTAATAAATAGATAATCTTATACTATGAATGATGAATCATATATAACTAAAAAATAACAAAACAAAAGTAATTAAACAACGAAAGATAATTTTACTGCGCATTCCATCAGCTGTGTATGAACTACATAGGTGCATAAGGGAGGCGGAGGGGAGGTAGAAAGATAGTCCTGTGTTTTGTATTGTATTTCGCACGTGTTTCGTAGCTAATTTACGGTTTATTCGGATGAAATTTATTTAAAGAAAAATATTTCTAAATATGGGAATAACAAAACAAGAAACCCACCGGCCAGGTGCATTTAAGCAAAGTAACAAACCTCACAAGACTGGTAGACACCGCAGTAAAGGTTCAATAAGCGGCGAGGTTAAAGGTAAAATTATTATCGAACGTGCACGTCGACGTTTTGCAAAAACGATTGTTTAACACTATAGGGAAGATCGGGGTAAAAGCATTGGTGAAACGTGCTGCGAAAGATCTTGGGAAAGATGCCAGGAGGCATCAATCTTCTCAAATCAGGAAGAAGAAGAGGGAGGAAGTTTTGCAGGCGAAGAGGAATTTAGGTGGATCTAACTCTGCACCTATTCTGGTCTGTGTCATTCCGTTACAAGAGGATTTAGATATTGATCACGTTTTATCTATCTTAACAAAAGCAGACGAGTCAGCGAATGTACACAGAAGTCCGTGTGGTGCAACTCATTTAAGGTATAATTTTATAGCAACGTACAATGATAATGATAATCTATTAATTACTTTCTTCTGGTACAGCATACCCAGGTTTAAACAACGTTTCTCCATTATTGTACCTCCTGTTGGCAACGTATTTGCTACGCTGGATTTAGCAAAAGTAGCAACGACCGTCCTTTTCGTTGCCTCTGCTGTCAGTGAATCTGACAGCAGTCCCAAAGATGAGATAATGGATGATTGGGGAAGGGAGATCATTTTACCCTGTGTTGCCCAAGGTCTGACAACGCCTGTAGTGGCGTTGACAAACGTTGAAAGTCTACCAATTAAGAAACGTCAAGAGTTTAAGAACAGTATGTTCGATGAGATTTCCAAATGGTTACCCGAGGAAAAAGTTTTGCAGCTGGATTCTGCTACGGATGCCTTCAATGTCCTGCGACGCGTTGGTTCTCAAAAGCAGAGGACCGTGTCCTACAGGAATAAACGAGCTCATTTATTAGCTGAAGAAGTCAAGTTCAAGTCTAATGAAGATTCTGCAGAATTTGGAACTCTCATAATCTCAGGGTATCTAAGAGGTATTCCGTTGTCAGTGAACGGTTTGGTACACATACCCGAATTGGGAGACTTCCAGATGTCTCAAATAGACGCGCCTGAAGATCCGTATCCAGTGGAAAGAAAGCCGAGGAAACATTGCAACGCGATGGACGATGACCCATTGATTCGTGTTCTCGAACGTGCGGATCCGAACAAACAGGAATCTCTGGAAAGCGAAAACGTGCCGGATCCTATGGATGCTGAACAGACCTGGCCGACGGAAGAGGAATTAGCCGAAGCTGCAGCTGCTCAAAAAAAGAAGATAGTGAAGAAGGTTCCAAAGGGAACTTCTGAATATCAAGCAGCCTGGATTCCCGACGAAGACGGAGAGGAGCTCAGCGAATATTCGAACGACGAGGAGGAAGATAAAATGTCTCTCGACGAAGCAAAGTCTCAAACGGACAGTGAGGTAGAAGCGGAACAGGACGACGAGGAATATGAGACGATCACTGTTTCCGAAGCTCCCGACGAACGATACGATCAGAACATCGATATGACGGAGGAGAAAGAAGCAATGGATAAATTAAAGTCTGCAAACTTGGACGCACAATTCCCCGACGAAGTGGACACGCCTCAGGACATGTTAGCGAAACAGAGATTTCAGAAGTACCGCGGACTCGAATCGTTTCGTACAAGTCCGTGGGACCCAAAAGAAAACCTCCCGAGCGATTACGCGCGGATATTTCAATTCCAAAATTTCGATCGGACGCGGAAACGCGTATTCAAAGAATCCGAGGAAGTAGAAGGCGCCATGCCCGGCTGGTACATCACGATTCACGTCGTTAACGTCAGGCAAGATCTTTTCATCGCGTTTCGCGCGCTGGAGAACCGTCCGTTAATCGTATTCGGTTTACTCCCTAATGAACAGAAAATGTCTGTGCTGAACGTAGTGTTGAAGAATACAAACAATACTCCTTTGCCAGTGAAATCCAAACAGAGGTTGATTTTCCAATGCGGCTTCAGGAGGTTTTCGGCGTGTCCGATTTTCAGCCAGCACACGAACGGTAATAAACACAAGTACGAGAGGTACTTTAGACCGGAGAGTACCGTCGTTGCGAGTATGTTCGCTCCAATCGTTTTCCCACCGTGTCCGGTTCTCTGTTACGTCCAGAAATTAAACAAATCCTTGGAATTAATCGGGACTGGGAGCGTGTTATCTGCAAATCCTGACAGAATAGTTATAAAGAGAGTAGTCCTGAGTGGTCATCCGTTTAAAGTACATAAACGATCAGCCGTTATACGATTCATGTTCTTCCATCGGGAAGATATAAATTGGTTCAAGCCAGTCGAGCTGCGGACGAAGCTCGGTCGCAGGGGACACATAAAAGAACCATTAGGTAATTGATTTTAATATCACGCAGTGAAACAGATATTGAATCGTGTTTTCTTATTTCCAGGTACGCACGGCCATATGAAATGTGTCTTCAATGGGCAGCTGAAGTCGCAAGATACCATCTTGATGAATTTATACAAACGCGTGTTCCCGAAATGGACGTACGAGCCGTTGTTAATAACCGATTTGGAGAACAACGAACAAAACATGAACATAGATTAAAGTTAACAAGAAATTGTATATATGAATAAAGAATTAAATGGTTCTTTATTATACCTGCGTTTAGTTTGTAATTGCTTGCGCTTGAAACGTGTTTGAACACACTCCCGATAGTCTTCGCTTCGATTGGCAATATCACGTGACTTACGATTTACCCAATCGTGTTCAGTTCAACAGTGTCCCCTCACGTGGTTCAAAAGGTGTATATCGCTTTCACCTCGAATTTTAATTGATATTTGATAACAAGCGGCTTGTGAAACTGATGGATTTGGACACTGCCTATATAGGTATTTATTCGAAGTTTATTTTGTCATAAGGCCGGTAGATATTCAAACTGTTATATTTAATTAACGTAGAACCTTTCCTCGACGATTGGCTGGAGGACATTCTGTTTGCAATTCAAGAACAAGAATGTCTCGTACAGAGTGAGGATCAGTTTCACATGCCTTTTATAGGTATTTATTTATCTTAATGTAACCCTTGTCTTTTACTGTGTACGACACTCTTTATTTCAAATAATTTACTCTTTTAGCTATACCACCTCCGTTAGTTAGTGCCATATTTAAAATAACAGATGAACTCGATTTGGAGCCTGGTACAAAATACAATGCTATTCATTTATATGATAAATTCATGTGTAACTATTTCTGGGAAATGTATAAAGAAGGTGGTAAGACGAGCAGATCCTGGTCACAAGTTCGCGAAAAGTTATCGAGCCACTCGATGCTCTATCTGATGGCCTGCTTACAACTAGCAAGTAAAATGGATTCACATTCTAGAAACATAAGAATTTCGCAAGTACATACGTCGTATCCAACCAATAATTCTCCAATAGCGGCAGCTTAATTTTTCTCTCAACGTAGGTGCTCACTATCTTGCGGGACATTGATAAGAGATCTGAATACTCCGCGAGAGCAATATTTTTGTCGGAATACAAAGTGTTTCAGACCGTCGGTTTTAAAATGCCGTTGCACACTCCACTGCATTGCGTAGAGATACTCCTAGCTGCAACGGGATTGAAGAATACTACGGACATACGACAGAACGCCATGGATCTATTGGATTTCTTTTATCTGCAGGTTTGCATTCTTTTAAGGATGTATTGGCTATACAGTCAATCCCAAAAGTTTATGTACCTTAGAAAAACGCATTTCTTATAATTAAAAAGAAATCAGACGTCGGAAGAACAATGCTAATAATAAATAGCTGCGTGCTAAAAAGTATAGAAGGAAATATCCAATTAATTATTGACGATAGCGAAAAGTTTATTAT